GATTTCTTGCTTCTGCCACAAATTCCCCCAGCTGTGAGCCTTCCAACCTTCTAAATATTCCTTTATATGTGGTTCAGAGTTCTGAGACCATCCCCTGAACCTGCTTGGTGTCGGGTATTCTGTGTTGTTGTTGGTGGAGCTCTTTGCTACACATCCACCCTATCTGCCATCTTGTTTGTTCTTCCCATGGGCAAGAGTTTTAATATAATCAGGGTGCATATCATTTTTGATTCACCCTTGTGTAAGAGTCAGTTGCTTTTCTGTGTTCCAGGAACAAACAAGTGGATATTGAGATGAAAATAACATCACTAGTTACATTGTTGTTGTTAGATGGGGTCTAGTTGTTCTATAGCGCATAGTGACCCCATGTGACAGAGTAGAACTGCATATAGGGTTTCCAAGGCTGTAATCTTTACAGGGGAGCTCTGATAGTGTAGTGGTTACGAATCGGGCTGCAAACTGCATGGTCTGCAGTTCGAAACCACCAGCTGTTCCGTGGGAGAAAGATGAGGCTTTCTGCTCCTGTAAAGATTTACAACCTCGGAAATGCTGTATAGGGTCACTATGAGTTGGAACCTACTCCACAGCACATAACAGCAACAACAAACTTTACAGGAGCAGATTTCTGGGTCCTGCTGCCACAGAAAGGATCTCTGGTAGCATAGTGGTTACAAATCAAGCTGCAAACTTTAAGGTCAGCAGTTCAAAACTACCAGCCACTCCACGGGAGAAAGATGAGGCTTTCTGCTCTCATAAAGATTTACAGCCTCGGAAACCCTGTACAGGGTCGCTATGGGCCGGAACCGACTCGATGGCACTTAACAACAACAACAACTGCCGCAGAGTCACTGGGTGAGGTCGAACCACCAAACTTTTGATATGCACTCAAGTGTATAACCTTACATCACCATGGCTTCTACCAGTTAGATAAACCTATTGCTGTTTATTTGACTCCAACTCAATGACTCTATAGGAATAAAGAGAAGAATGGTCTCAGGGGTTTCCAGGGCTGTAAATCTTTATGGACGCAAACTGCCACATCTTTTATCTATAGAGAGGCTGGTAGGGTCACACTACTGACCTTTCGGTTAGCAGCCAGATGCTTTAAGCACCTTACCACCAGGCCTTGTTCCAATTGCAGTTGTTGTTGTTGTTAAGAACCGTCCAGTTGGTTCCGACTCATAGTGACCCTATGTACAACAGAATAAAACACTGTCTGGTCCTGCACCATCCTCAAAATTGTTAAGTTTGATCTCTTTCTTGTGTTAGACCATCTCATTGGGGGTCTTCCTCTTTTTTGCTGACCCTCCACTTTATCAAGCATGATGTCCTTCTACCAGGACTGGTCTCTCCTGAAAACACGTGTCAAGTATGAGAGACTTCTAAGACTCTTGACTTCTAAGGAGCATTCTGGCCGTACTTCGTTCAACACAGATTTGTTTGTTCTTCTGACAATCCATAGTACTTCTAATAATTCTTCTCCAGCACCATAATTCAAATGCATCAGTTCTTCTCAGGTTTTCTACGGTAGCTTTATTGTTTTGACTCTATATAGAATTTCCAAGGAATGGGTTTGAACCACTAACCTTGTGGTTAGCAGTCCAGTGCTTATAATGCCACACCAGAGCTCACCAGTTGCATTAGCACCCCCCTAATTAAATAATTACTTATAAACCTAACAAAATATAGATAGGATCTATATGCAGGAAACAACCACTTCTGTTGGGAGAAGTCAGAGGATATGTAAGTGGAAATTACGTGTGTTGTAGTTGTTGTTAAGTGCTGTCGAGTCATTTCTGAATCATAGCGACCCTGTATAGGGTTTCCAAGGAGCAGCTGGTGAGTTTGAACCACTTACTTTGTGGTTAAAACAAACCTTGTAGTCCAGTGCTTTATCCCACAGTACCTTACCAGGAGATTATATACAGGAAGAGTCAGTATTGTTAAGATCTATAGATTCAGCCCAACCCCAGGCAAAAAGTTATTTTGTGCCTATCAATAGATTGTTTCTAAAGTTTATATAAAAAGGCAGAAGACTCAAAATAACCAATACAATACTGAAGAAGAACAGAGTTGGAGGACTGGCACTATCTGATTTCAAGACTTATTATAAAACTACAATGATAAAGACAGTGCGGTATTATTTAAAAAATAGACAAGTCAATGGAACACAAAAGAGAATAGTGAAATAGAGCCATGCAAATATAGTTAACTGTTTTTTGACAAAGGAGCAAAGATAAATCAATGGAGAATGGCAATGTCTTTTCATTCAGTGGTACTAGAATAATCCATATGGCAAAAAAAAAAAAAAAAGAGAGAGAGAGAGAAAGAGACCTAGACACAGACTTTATACTTGTGACAAAAATTAATTCATAATGGATCATAGAGCTAAATATAAAATGCAAAACTATAAAACTTATAGAAGACAGCATTAAAGAAAACTTAGGTGACCTTAAGTTGGCAGCACTTTTTTAGATAAAATATAAAAAGCATGGTCCATGATAGGCAAAAAAAAAAAGATTTTTATAGCAATAACATCAGTGGGAAGACTCAGTATTGTGTAGATTTCAGTTCTCCCCAAATTATAAATCCATTGCAATTTTGATAATACTTTTGGAAAGCTTTCTTGTTGATACTGATTTGCTGATTCTAAAATTTAAGTGGGAATTCAAAGAACCAAGAATAGCTGTGAATATCCAAGACAATATTGATGAAGATAAACCAAATTGAAGGACTAGAAATCAAGATTATAAAGGCTCATCATTAAAATAGGGTCTTACTGGCACAAGAACAAACAGTTCAGTAAAACAATGCAAAGTCCAAAAGAACCTTCACTGACCATGCACCTGTATATGTCTATATTTATAACTAGGGTGTCACTGCAAAGTTTCACTCATTGAAGGAGGGGTTATCACATCTGAAACAGGAAGGCCTGTACATGGGGAAAGATATTCCCATAGAGACAGTATGGGTGTGCAAATAACGTTGAGATATGTTTGATATATATATTTCTTCCATTGTAATTTTCCTAAGTACAAGATTCGCTAAGTGTTTTGAGGTCACTACAGCGCTTATTATGCTTCTCTCCTTAGCTTTTCATAGAAAATGATGGGAGCCTACATTGTAGGATGGAATCTGTGCTATTTCATGCTCTCCGGTACTGCTTGTTAGGCTATTGCTTCTTGTATCCTGGTGTTACTTTGTTCCTAGTAACATTCCCCAAGTGTAGGGACCTGCAGCTCACCATGGAATGTAACTTTGAAAATTGTTACCATCCCCCTGACACTTCCACACACAGAAACATGCACTCTCATATTTACTTTCGGTGATGAGCAGGATTGAGATGCTATTATCGTCTCTGACCTCAGCCACAAAGAAAAGCTACTGGGTCTTTCCAGCTGCTTCCCCCAGTGCAGAGGCATGCACAGCTGTTTGCCCATCAAGCCGTCATCCACAGCTCCTTTCCTTCCCTGCCGGAATGTCTGGACCCCACTCAGACCTCTGCCATGATGCTGCTGCTGCCTCTGTGGGAAGAACTGATGCTCTTGATGTTTTTGTTTGCTTCTCTAATTTTCTTTATTCCTCGTCTCTCCATCTTCTGTGGCTTCATAGATGCCGTGCAGGAAAAACTGCCAACCATTGAGTGCCATACTTCAGACCATTGAACAAGTACATCAATCTGAATGAGTTTTATCATTGAGTTTTTCTTGGCCCCAGGCTATTTATAGCTAAAACGTCTGAACCTGTTTGCTAATCTACCACTAAATGAGAGGTTTGTGTTGCTTATTAGGAGTCTGAGAGTTACTAGCTCTCACCTGGCTCTTTGCTTGGGAGATTAGAGAGTTGATCTTTGAATTTTGATTTATGATCTGTCCCATGTCATAGGAGCCCTGGTAGCACAGTGGTTAAGCACTCAACAGTGAACTGAAAAGTCAGTGATTCGACCCCAGTAGTGACTCTGCAGGAGAAAGAAGTGGTATTCTGATTCTATAAAGACTACAGAGCATAGCCTTTGGAAACCTATGGGACAGTTCTCTGTCTGATACGGTCAGTATGAGTCAGAATTAACACGATGGCAATGAGTTACTCCCATGTCAGTTCCTTAGAACAATTAAAATATGAGTAAAAGCTTTATGAGTGTGTTTTAAGAGTATTTGTGTAGTGTGTCTGAAACAGCTGAACATGTGAATTTTTAATATTTCACAGTGGTGATATAACATTGTACTGTACTTGGGTATTGCAAATTGAGGAATTTTGGAAGAAAAAAAATTATCCAGATGGCACACTAGTTATAAATATCCTAAAATATTAATACCTTTTCATTTTTGTGTTTTTTCCCTTTTTAGAATATTTTCCTTCTTGGACATAGTAACTTTGTGCCGATGTGCACAGATTTCCAAGGTAGAGTATTAGCCATATTTTTAAATCAATAAAATATTGTATTTGAATGAAGATAAGTTTTGGTTCAAGTAAACAGTTAAAAATGAAAATTTGTTATATTTAATAAAACACAATGATATCTAAATTCCTGATTTTTATTCTTACACCAATATTGTAAGTTATGAAATACAAAGATTGTGTCAGAGCTGTGAGTTAACAGTTTGAATAAGTGTCTGTGTCTCATTGTAATCCACTTTCCTTTACCTCTCACTTCTCAGGCTTGGAACATCTTAGCCCTGGATGGAAGCAACTGGCAAAGAATAGATCTTTTTAACTTTCAGACAGATGTAGAGGTAAGTTAATAATGTCTTAGAAGAATTGTTTGTTTTCTTAAAGTAAGTAAGCTGTTTTCTTTTCTTTTTATTTTGCTTCATTTAAATATAATAATAAAGTGCCAAGATGGAACAGAGGGGGAAAAAAAATTGGAAGCTATTTACATCCAGGCAAAATTTGGCTTGTAGTTTCCTTTCTGCTTTGTCGGTGTATTTCCCCCTTGTTCATGTTTTTAATCTGAGTTTCATCACTCATTTTTTTAAATCCTTACACCTGTACCATTAATAGTGCTTCATCCTAAGGTAATTGTTTTCAAGTACTTACTAATTCAGAAGATCCACTGGGAATTCTAATTCAGAATCAGTAATGGACACATGGCATAAGCACAGGCCCAGGAGTGAAGCAGGGGGTCAGAATTGTCACCCCAGGCCTGCTGTCTCTCAACTCAAGAATTCTCTCTCAGTGCCTTGGTTTCATTATCTATAAAATACAAAAATTAATAATCCTTAAAACACTTTCTAATTCCAGGGTTCTGGGGTGTTTAACGGGAAAACATGTAAATGCCTCCATTTATGAGTGGTCTTGATAAGTGTCGAGTCATTTCTGATTCATAGAAACCCTGTGTACAACTTCTAAGGAGCAGCTGGTGGGTTTGAGCTGCTGACCTTGTAGTTAGCAGTCAACCTGATCAAGTGAGGAAAGTTTACTTCAAAACAACTTTCTTGTATTTTTCTTAGTTACCAATTGCTACTATATCAGAAATAACAACAACAACAACAACTATATCAGAAATAACACAATTGTAGGTGACTTTAAAGAACAAAAATTGACTTTCTGGACTGGGACCTTCCTACATTGTTGGTGGGACTACAGAATGGTCCAACCTCTCTGAAAATCAATATGGCACTTCCTCAGAAAGTTGGAAATAGAAATAC